CTTAGCACTCTCCATGTTGAACCTTTTCAGCACCTTTTCAACATACTCCTCCTGTGACAACTTCAACTTCATGTGTTGCCATGTCCCTACTAATTCGGATCCCAAGAATTTTCTTCGCAGAGGCCAAATCCTTCAATGCAAACTCCTTTGACAGTTGTGCCTTGAGATTAACAATTTTATCTATACTTAAACCTGCAATAAGCATATCATCTACATACAACAAAAGTATGAGATATAATGTACCAATCTTCTTAATGTAACAACAATGGTCCCCATGACATCTATTAAACCCCGTAGCTGCTATAAAGATATCAAACCTTTTATACCATTGTCTTGGAGCCTGTTTCAACCCATACAAACTCTTCCTCAACTTGCACACCTGATTCCCTTTGTCTTTCACAACATAACGCTTTGGTTGATACATATAAATGTCCTCCTCCAAATCTCCATAAAGGAAAAACAGTTTTGACATCCAACTGCTCTAAATGCAGGTTCTTAACAGCCACAATATTAAGGACGCATTGATAGTAAAAATCTTAACAACAGGAGAAAAGATTTCAAGATAGTCTATACCTTGTTTCTACTCAAAACCTTTGACTACCAACCTTGTCTTGTATCGTTTGCTCCCATCAAATTCTTTCTTAATCCTGTAAACCCACTTGTTGTGCAAAGCTCTCTTCCCCATAAGCAATTGAACCAATTCTCAAGTCTGATTTGATGAGAGAGAATCCATCTCATCATCCATCGCAAGCTCCCACTCCTTTTTGGACTCAATCTGCAACGCTTCCTCAAAATATTCTGGTTCACCGCTATCAGTTAACAACAGATAATACAAAGATGGAGAATAACGTGTTGGAGGTTTACCATACGTGTAGTCCTTCTAGGAAGAGGAGTCTATGGATTTACCAGTGGAGTAGATTGTGTATTAGTATCCTGAGGCTCGAAGACATTACTGTTAGAGATCCCCTCAAACTCTACAAAGTCTGATTTTATCTCAGCCTCCTTGGGTTGACTTAGTATGTTTCTATACAAAACTGACTCATTAAATACCACATCAATACTCCTGCGTGTTTTTCAGTTCTCAAAATCATACAGTCTATACCCATAACTATTAGTATCATAGTCTATGAACACACACTTTCGAAACTTAGCATCGAGTTTATCCCTATCCTCCAATTCTATATGCATATAGACAATGCAACTAAAAACTTGTAAATGTGATAAGTTTACCTCTTTGCCTGTCCAAGCCTCCTCTGGCAATCCACAATTCAACGGAACTGAAGGCCCCCTGTTGATCAAATACACATCTGTATTTACTGCATCAGCCCATAAATTGCTTAGGTAACCCAGAGTGTAACCTCATGCTCCTTGCACGCTCTAGGATCGTCTTGTTCATGCGCTCAGTAACTCCATTCTGCCTTGGCTTCTTTGGGACTGTTTTCAACCTTCGAATTCCATTCACAGCACAGTACGCCTCAAACTACTGCTACAATACTCGCCACCATTATCTGATTTCATACACTTCAATTTCATCACTGTTTCATTCTCAACTAATGCTTTCCAATTCTTGAAAACATCAAACACATCAAATTATGTTTAAGGAAATAAACCCATAATTTTCTAGTTGCGTCATCAACGAACGTAACAAAATAAAATGAACCACCAAGAGAAGATACCTTTGATGGACCCCACACGTCGATATAAACAAGCTCCAACTTCTCCGTTTTCAGAGTCCTTACCACTTTTGTAAAGCTGACCTTCTTCTATTTTTCGAGAACACAATCCTCACAGAAGTGCAAATCCAACGACTCACAACCCGGCAATTTCCCCTTCAACATCATTACTTTCATTCTCTTTTCCCTCATGTGACCCAGCCGACAATGCCACGTAGTGCAGTCAATCGCTGATGCTGTCACTGCGATGCTACTGTAAGTACCCGAAGATACATATAAGGTTCCTTCCTTTTTACTATGAGCAAGAATCAAGGACTCCTTGCTCATCTTTCAAGCATCTAATGTAAACGATGTGACCACTCCACCCTCTGACAACTGACCCATTGAAATAAGATTTATTGTTAGATTAGGCACGTGTCTAACATCCTTCAATTTTAGAACCGTTCCGTCTGTCTGAGTAGTATGCACATCTCTTTCCCAACTATATTGCAGGCTTCATCATCGCTTAAATACACTTTACTAAAGTTTCTCTGCACATAGTTTTGTAGCACATCCATGCGTGGAGTAGCCTGGAATGAAGCTCCAGAATCTACAATCCAAGATTCATTGCAAGAATCCAACGAACAAATTAAAGCATCATTATCAGACTCATCAGCGATATTAGTAGTATTTTTACCTCTTTGATTATTCTCATTCTGCTCCTTTCTCGGTGCCTTGCAGTTCTGTTTTCAGTGCCCCTTCTGATCACAGTTTCAGCAGCCCTTATCTCCACCACGAGATTTACTTCAGCATCTGTTTCTTGAATACGACTTTCTCTTGCCCTTTTTATTGTCTTCCTTATTCATAGCCCTACTCTCTCCTCCATATTGAGTACTGAACCTGAAACAACATCCTCACCCGATGCTTTTCTCCGAGCCTTTTCTCCTAGTATCAATGTCACAACATCCTCCAATTTTATCTTTGCAGACCCGGAAGAATTGCTTACTACCACGACAAGTCCATTCTAACTTTCCGGCAAACTTGACAAAAGGACAAGAGCTCTAATTTTATCATCAAAAATAATACTCACGAATTCTAACTGATTTGTGACCGTATTAAATTCGTTAATACGTTCAGCAACAATAGTGTTTTCGGACATCTTTAGATTAAACAACTTTTTCATAAGATATACCTTATTCACCGCTGAAGGCTTTTCGTACATCTTTTCTAGGACTTTGAACAAATTTGTTGTAGTATTTTCTTTGGCGATGTTCGATGCAACTGACGGCATGAGGCACAGTCGCACAGTCCCTAGGGATTTGCGATCCAGAACATCCCATTTTGCTTGCTCCATATCCACTGGTTTTACCCCAGCGATAGGTTGATATAGATCCTTCTGATATAAAATATCCTCTATCTGCATCTTCCAGATCGCGTAGTTCGTGCCATTGAATTTTTCAATCTTGACTTTGTCTTCAGCCATTGTGTAAACCCTTGACCTCTTAACCCAGAGCTCTGATTCCAGTTGTTGGGATTTAACACGCTTTAAACCTATAGACAAACACACACAATCGAAGAACAAATCAAAAACATAAAGTAATAAAAAATAAGAAAGAATAAGACACAGATTTTATATGGTTCAGCAATTTGCCTATGTCCACGAAGCTGTAGGGATTTCACTATTGAGAGAGAAGAATACAGAGAGCGGCTGTACAAAGCACCATCAAACCCTAATCACCAAAACAACGGATTTTATATGACCTGCGCACTGGGCTACAAAACAGGCCCAAAAATTTTCTTCGGGGGCAAGCCTTCGCTCCATGGCCCAAGTTTCAGAAAATTTTTCATTAAAAAATCACGCAACATTATTTCGGGTCGGGTCATCATCCGGATCACACACACAAACTAGACTCCACAAAAGGCCCAATAGGTGGACATATACGGGGATACCCGTATAAACCCGTGCAGGGATGGAGACGGGGATGGACTTACCCTTACCCTCGCCCCATCCCGTCCTCGTTTACCCGTTAATATTTATATATATATATATATATATCTCAGTCGTCGGTCCCAATTAAAGGTTAAAGCCTTAAAGCCCTAATTTCCACATCTCTTTATCTATCAGTCGCCTCCATCTCTCTCTCTCTCTCTCTCTCTCACAGTGAAACAGATACCCACACCAAATGGCATAGGTGATGGCTGAACCAGTTCATCTATCTCTTCGTTGGGTAGCCCAGTTCATCTAGTGTCTGTCTGCAACCATAGTTGAAGCGTATAACGTACTGCCTAATTTGGCGAGCTTTCTTATTTCTAGTTCTTGATCCTTTATTTTTTCACCTACTTCATAAGAGAGTTTATAATGCAAATTTTATAAGTTGGTTGAATGCAAATATTATTCGTTTTGACAGTTGATATCCTCTCTGCTTATCTTTACTTGGCTATGATAAAAATAACTGTAGTAGTATGATGGGGCAGCTTGGTCCTTGCACTCTGCCTTCTTGCATCTATGATAATTTGTTTTGAGGGAATATTGGATTTATCTGCTTCACAGAACATGGAGGTTACGTAGAAACCTAGATTGGTCGATATTCAGGTAGATAATTTAGTCAATTAAGAAGGTAGATCATAGATGTTCTTGAGTCTTTTGAAGGATTTTTTTTTTTCACATTTAGAAGTGCGGGTACGGGGGCAGCGAGGGCAGGGACGAGGGTGAGAATTAAAAAATTTATCCGCAATGGGGATGAAGATAAAAATTATACCTGATAATAGAGGTGAATTTTTTTTTTAAACGAGTATAAGGATAGAGATTATATCCCACTCCCGCGTCGGTTCATTACCACCCCTAAGCAGGAGTCTTCATCACCCATTTCCGTTCTCCATGCAGGCCAACACCTTCCACGTGGCCCTCCGGCTCTATCCCCACGTTCCATCTAATCCAAATTAATAACCTCTCGAAAAAGCCTACGGTACCCCCACAAATAATAAAAACAATTATCACTACTTACTTTATTAATTTAATACTAATTATATTAATTCGTGTCAATTTCATCTTTAAAATTATAATTTGTGTTAATTTAATCTCAAATCAAATAATTTTTTAAATAAAGTGATTATATATTATTCTTTTAGACGATAACATGTATCTAATAGATAATTTTTTTGATAAAAATTTAATAATTTATTTATGTAAAGACCATTTAAAGACGGGACTATTAAGAACTAAATTGATAAATATATATATTTTAAAGACTAAAAAGTGTTATTAAGAAGAGTTGTCCTAATACAAATGTTGAGTTTTTAATTTATTTTCTCAATAATTTCTTGGCCATAAAAACTCCGAATCCCCTGATTTCTAGGGTTTCCATTTTCTTCGATTCTCATCTTCATGCTCATCTCTGATTAGCTCTCATTTATGGAGAAAAAGGTACGTTGCAGAACCCAACATTCATTTCAATTTATCTTGAATTGATTACTTTTACAATTAGCGTACTTCGGATTCGTTTCTGTAGCTTTCCGCTTTAATAATGTCTTCAAATTCCAAAACTTGGTGATTGAATTGGATTGAATTCCACTTGGGATTCAATGAGAAATCACCCGAAACAAATTAATTGATATTCTCGAGATTTTTGCTAGATTTGGTCCACCGTAGCTGGAATGATGGTTGGTTGTTCTCGATCTTGATTTGAATTTTGGTTTTGACCGTACTCATACCGCCATACATATTCATCTTTCAATACAAACCCTTGGTTTTTCTTCGGAAATGGATTCGGAAAATGAAGTTTCAGCTTTTGATTCTGTGGAAGATAATGAAGCTGTAGCTCCTGATAAATTGGTTAATGTCAACGAAACCATTAAGGTCGAAAGTAATGGCTCCTGTGCTGTTGTTGATGATTTATTATTGGAAAATGCAAAAGGGAAGGGAATTGAAGTCTTGGACTCCATGGATTCACCTCCGATGTCGACCAAATCTGCGCCTCTTCTAGGGACAACCATGAAAGGCTATGGATTGAAGAAATGGAGGCGGATTAGGAGGGAAGTCAATAGGCATGGGGGTAGTGATGTTGATATTAGTAAGATATTGAAGCGGGGTTTGTCTAATTCGGCTGTGAAACCAATCAAAACTATGCATTTTTCTGCTGAGGTGAAGCAAAAGAGTGAGGGCTCTGTTTCATCCACAAATGCAATGGTGAGAAGTCCTGGTGCGGTGGTTGATGGTTTCGTCATGCTTGGCGATCCTGGGAAGGCTGTTGGACCGACTTTCACTGCCAGGTCAGATTCCGAGAACAGTGAGGATCGGAGCAGCAAGTCTTCCACGGCAGGCAGTGCTCCAAAGATGAGGTATGAGAAACCTGCTGTGGGGGGACATGCTAGGAACAGGTTAAGGAGTCTGAGTGGGAAGAATTTGGGCAATTCGGTTCAGCGGAGTCAGCAGGGAAAGGTTCAGGTTGAAACCAGTAAGAAGCCTAGAGGAGAATCAGTCAAAATCGAGAAGGAAAACTCTCATTCCAGCATGGAATCTGACTCACGAAGCTCCAACTTTGTCTTTTTGCAGGGATCTAATTTGGTGACCAGTAATGGAAGACAAAGTGGAATGTCAATGAACTATGATGGAGAAAATAGTGATGAAGCTCAGGGCTGTGAAGATCAGTTTAGTGAGGAACTTCAAACTGCTTATGGACGAAAAGATGTGGGGGAATTTGAGAATGCCTCACAAGATGATTTAGGTGCTGATTCGTCTTGGGAGGCTAAGGAAGGAAAGAGTGAGAACCTTGGGTCCTCATCAGATCAGGATCCTCTGGTTGAGTCTATCCTTTCACTCCAGTCTGTGCAGGAAGCGCTTGAAAGAGGTAGGTGTGCTTGCCGTCATTGCCAATTTCTCCAATTATTATCGTAAAAGTCTTAACTTATGGATTTCTGATCCATGCAATTTTAACATTGTGCCTTGCAATCAGAGGAGACCTTATGAGGTGTATTTCCTCTTCTTTTTTTGTTGTATTGTTTTTTTGTTATAATTTGGCCATCTCTATGATATCGAAGTATATATTTGTTGCAAAAATCATATGCTTTTTTGGAAAGTAACTAGTTTTGTTAGTTGCATTATCTTTTTACTGAAACACTCTGATTCTCACTCTTGACTCGCTTAAAATCATTTAGTTCTGACATTTTGTTGTTTTTGTCCTGGAGGTTTCATGAATGCTTTCTCCCCATGAACTCATATATGTAATCATTACAGCTGTGATCACCCAGTAGATTCAATCTCTAAGATTTTTAATCTTCATGCCTGCTAGTTTTTGAAGGATCTTCTCTCCTTTTTTAATGGGTGTCTCAACTTGCACTTTGGCTACAAAAAAGGGAAAGAGTAAGGGGGGTTGGTGGGGCAGGGGGGAATCTTCTATTTTAGTTTCTATATTTAGATACAGGCATTTCTGGGGGATATTGGTGGTGAAAGTCAGAGTTGTGGTCTTAAATTCATTTATTTGAGGGATCGTAATAATCAAATTGTGAAGTTTGTATTAGGAAGGAAATCATCTAGGGGGGCATGACCCGGCCACCCACCCAACCCGGGCAGATCAGTCCTAAACAATAGGGCTTGGGCAAATTATTTTGGCCCATGGGCTACCCATCAAAGGAACATTAATATATTGAACATCATATTTTAGGAACAGATGTATTTGATTTTTTTTTATATTTTATAGTTCTTAATTATTTATTTTTAAATATGATAAATATAAAATAAAACCCTAGGGCCTGGGCCAGAGAATCTGGCCCATGGGCGGGATTGTTTAATGCTGGCTGGCTCGGTAATCGTGTAGGAAGATATGTATGTGTCCTAATTCCTAAACCTATTACGCAACGAGGCCAAGTTTTTACCTTTCTAGTTTGTTGTTTATCTTGTAGAGACTGTAAAGGGAACTGTGTGTCCTGTATCTCAGCACATTGCCTGTATTATCCTTGGCACCCTCCCCTCCACGACACTTGATGCTTGTATCTAATTGTTGCCCTGTGGGCCACTTAGTCAATTGTCCAAGGGTTTGCAACATTACATTCTAAGCTTTTAGTTGGAGCATTGCAAGATGGTTTGAATGTGGAGTTTGAGTGTCGTCCTGTAAATGGTGTTGCAGCCCCTTATCATGGTGGGGGAACCAAAAGAAGGAAAGGTAGACCAGATGGAAGAGGTAGCCCTAGGAAAGGAACCTGCCTTTTTCCTTGTGTTTAGTTGAGCTGTAGAGTAAGAAGGGAAAACATGTTACTTGATTTTACAGTGATACTCTTATTTTGTTGGCTATGGTTATCTTTATAGAACAAATAGCCGGGAAAAAAAAATAAAATTTGGCCCGCCCTTCCTTTCCTCTCCAAAAGAAAAGGGTGAGTTATCCTTCTGCTCTTTCTTTCCCTGCACTCACTACAAGAAAACTGGTTTTTGTATCGGCAAATCGCCAACGCAAATATTTGTGTCGACAATCATACTATTTGGGTCGGTAAAGGGGGATGCAAATAATATGTGATGTAAAAAGTTTGTATAGATTATTTGCCAACGCAAAAAAAAATTGAAGCCAAAGATTGGTTGGCGTCAATTTTTTGCGTTGGTAGCTATTGCTTTGGCAAAAAACACCTTTTCGCGTCTAAAAAATGACAATGCAATAAATGAATTTTTGCGTCAGCAAGTTGCCGACGCAAATAATTTTCTATATAATTTTTTCCTTTTTAAATATTAATCTTTTGCTTCATTTGCAGACGCAAATATTCCCCAAAATTTTTTTTTTAATTTATTTTTTGGACTTGAATTTGTGCATGCATAATTGTACATATTTTCTATAGACTTGAACTGACACAAAAAAATCTAAATAAACAACTAAAAGTTATAAACATGGATCATTCATCATTATGGTTAAAAATATTTCAATATCTATAACATAAAAAAATCATTACAAGCACATGATGGCCAAGGTTTTCATAAATACAAAAATTCAAAAAATACCTATCGAAAGTATCAATACATGATTGAACAACTCTCTCCAAATGCAAAAAAAAAAAAAATAGTCTGTCCCAATGCACCTTCCACCCTCAATTGATAACCTGCAAAAAATATAATTTTTGTTATTATGTTGCCAATTTTAAGACGGATAACTAAATACATAAAAACAACAAATTATATTCATTTTACTCTTTAAGTTATATATAAATTTACCTCTATATTATTAAGAACTAATCAACCCTTTCTTTAACCAACTTAACTACTAATGGGCCTTTGGTCCAATGGTACTCCTTGTCTTGTGAATGCTTAGGTCACAGGTTCAAATTCCCTCCCCATCCCCCCCCCCCCCCCCCCCCCAAAAAAAAAAAAAAACTGACCTAACTAACATCAAGAATAATCACTGAAATCCCTAACTAACCTCAACTCAAAATTTTCACATAGAAGAACATACAATCAAATGGAAGAATGGAGAGAAATGGGAGAAAAATGAAAAAACAATCAAGCAACATGTCCATAAAAATACATGTACCGGAATATAAAAAACAACACTGGAGTAGGTTACAACAAGCTCAAATGGTTACACCCATGACCACGACAAAATTGACAAAAGAAAAATCAGTAATCATCATCAAGTGTATTTCTATTTTCCACAACAATAGGCCTTCTGTGCCCATGTGAATCTAAGTAATCAAAGTAAGGACTGCCCATGTAACAAACACAAGAAGAAATATTTCCAGGAGTGGAAATCACAAAACAAGTAGAACACCAACAGATTCACCAAAATCAAATCGGCAGCATTCTAATGTATTTTTTAATTATTAGAGTCAACATATTAACAAGGTGGTGACATGGTTCATCAAACGTGTCAGCCAAAATCATTAATGTACACGAGGAAAAAGGGAAAAATATCATTAATGATATAATTATTGGACACACTAACCAACGATTTTGATTGGTGTTACAATTTAAAACAACAACTAATGCATACCTTAACAACAGTATGTGTGACAGTATGATAATTTGGAAATAAACAGTGTGTAATTTGATTAACTTATTACCTTATGTTATGAGAATTCATTCTTTGATTTTGAATTTTTGATGCAACCAATAATTTTCCTTCCTTTAAAAGAATTTCTCTCTCGTTCTAGTTTTACACCTAAAGTTCAACATAATCTGGTCCTCACAGTCATTCCCACAAACATCTTTAAGTCCTACATGTCTCCCAATCAGTCAACTAGAATAGAACCAAGATACCAAATGCTTAAATATGAAATACTTAACCTATATGTGAAACCTCACCTCTTTTCACCTGAACCATGTCCCTTCCTCTCTCTGTCTCTAGCCTCTCGCCTCATCTTTTTGGTTGTTTTTACATAAAAAGAGGAAGTGGGTGACTGAAAATACCTCTGAAACTGTAGAAATCAGTTGTCCCTGCTCTGATAGAATGCAACCCACTGGCCATTACAACCACCAACACAAAAAAATCATTCTAGTCAGCAATTCACAGAATCACATTAAACTGCTTGGCAAAGACGCCACACAGACCCAGAAACCATCGAAGCCCAAATCTCATTCTGAGTACCTCCATACATGGCAAAAAGGATTAATGGTTAATTTCTAGAGAGAGGAAAAGGAGATCCACTAGTGGTCCTGAAATGGAGAATTTTAGATCTACAGGAAAAAAGAATTAGTGGTTGATTTCTAGAGCGAGCAAAAAGAAGATCCTGCAGTGGTTTTGAAATGGATCCAGTATTATGAAAAAAAATATAACCTTAAAATAAACCCAAAAAAAAAAAAAGAATACATCATACCAAATCGGAGCAGAGGAAAGAATCTAAAGACCATCTACAACCTGGGGAACAAAATCTTGAAGTTTCTCTTTGTAGATCTATCTATGTAAATCTCACTTACCAAAAAGAAAATGACCTGAGTAAGTCTATGGCTCTGTCACCATAACAGAGGGTTTGGGGAGAGGGTTTTTTTGCAGAGAGGTTGACAAAATGGAGGGGAGGGGAGAGGAGGAAGGGGGTGGGGGATCTGTGTGTGGTAAAAAAGTGTCAGTGAGAGGAGAAAGGAGGGAGAGAAATACCTGAGAAGATGGTAACGCCAGTGCTGTGGCGAAGATGATGGTGGCGGTGGCGTTATGGCAGTGGCGAGGTAACTGAGAGCGGAGAGATGAGGGGGAGAGAGAGACGGGGGTTGGGGATAGAAGCATAGTGTTTATGTTTGGGGAAAACTAAAACGACACCGTTTTAGAGTAAATTGAAAAAAACGACGTCATTGGAGTTAAATCTTTTTTACCGTCAGCCCTTCGCAGATGCAACAAGTAGACTTTTTGCTTCGGCACCCACTCCTGATGCTAAAAAATATTTTTTTTTTGCCTTGGCTATCACTCCCGAAATTAAAAAAAAAAACCTCTTTTTTTGCCTCAGCTGTCATTCCCGATGCAAAAGCCCCTTTTTGCATCAGCAACTTGCCAATGCAAATAATGTCGGAAGCAAAAGCCCCTTTTTCTTGTAGTGAGTCCACTTTACCATTACACCAATTGATGGATTGCTGGTCTATCTCCACCATTTTCCACCCCCTTCTTATTTTCTACCAAGTGGATAATGTCAACTTGTTGCTTTATATAGGATTTGCTCTTATTAAAGAGAAAATAATGTTATTGTGGGCCTTTGGAAACCATACTTGTTTGGTCAATGGATAGCTTCACTTTAAACCCGGTGATGTGCCTGCTCCGTAAGCCTTGTAGAGTTATCGTATTTGGGATCAGGGTAAATTTATGAACTACCAATCTGTCATAATGATCTCAGCTGGACCTCTATTGAGTTGGAACCCTTGGTAACCACAGTTCAGTTGTCATCTATACTGGATTAGGATCTACTGAAAACAGAATTGGCTGGACATAGTGTTGCCCCGGATATTATGAGGAAGTCACTGATGTCTTCTTCTTCTTTTTTTTTTTCTTTCTGTATTTTGTGTTTGGGAGTCAGGGGCATGGAACTATGGATTGCAGGATATGGCTTGTTTCATGCTGAAGTTCCTCAGGTTCTGCGTTACGAGTCATTAGTGAACTTCTAAGCAATAGTATCCCTGCAACTCATTGAATGGGGGTGTGTGCATTGTGTCTGTGTATCCAATAATAGTAACATGTACATAGATAAATTTTTATATTCTAAATGTGAGGGGATTGTCTTTCTTCAGATATTGTTTATGTTCCTTTTGTCTAGTTTTATGAAATGAGTTCTGTCAATTGCAGCTTTTTTCCTGAATCTTGTGTACCAATGCAGAAGTTCTGAAATTAAAAGACATTGGGGAGGAAGATATTTCAGTCTCTGATGATAGTAGTTTCCCTTCAAAGTTCACTTCTCTCGATCCAGAAGCTCATGAACCAAGTTCATCTGACCCGTTACAATGTGGTGAGAGTGGATTAAGTTCCCTTGATTCATTTGAAACCCAGCTAATTAGCTTAAAGCATAGCGTAGATTCTTTGGAAAGCAAACTTGAGGAGGCAATGGCAATGCTCAAGATGAAGGAAGCCAAGATTGTTGAACTTGAGGCCGGTTTAGATACTAGCAAGTCTATAAAGGAAGATTCAGAGAGAACTAAAGGGTTGCAACAAGAAAAATGTAGGGAGATGGAGACTGACCTTGACCTTGAGGGCCTCTTCAGGCAAAAGATTGAAGCTGAAGTTGAGTATATGGCAATATCGAGAACTATCCTACAGTTGAGAGTTGCAGCAGTGGATCAAATCACACTCCTGGAAGAACAGAAAACTCTAGCTTTGGGGCAAGCCCAGATGAGGCAAGCTGAAGAATTGGAGACTTATCGAGAAGATATTGTCGAGGTTGATGATGTTATGAGGCTTCAGAAGAGGTTTTGTAAGATTACTTTGTGTTTTTTTATTCAGTTGATGCTGCTGTTTCTAACCCTGGGACTGCTTTTCTTGAAGTTATCACCCCATAATGCTGGGATGTTGCCCACATAATTTTGAGATCGGTCGAGTCCTTTTGTATTATTCAACATCCCTAGGCAAATGTTGGTATGTCGATTTAGTTTCCTTTAGAAGTTTATAAATATCAGAGGCCGAGTCTTTATCTGGTTTTGTTGGTTTAATCTACTACTTTTCAATGAGACTTCTGTTAGTATTCATTTTTGAGAGTTATGCAATCAGAACTGAAAGAAATGGAGAATTTCATGCATTGATTCACAGATCAAAGGGCTTTGTACTTTGCTTGAGTTTTATCATCACTCTTTTCCATCAGTTGATTACCACCGGTGGAGATGAAAACCAGTTCGGATTCTCATGCCTAAGGGTTTTTTCAAGCACCAATATTTCAGCGTCATATCGTTTGGTCCGTATTTTATTATTTCATTTTTTATGTAACAATCAAGAAAACTGTTGTCCTTGGCGAAGCTTGAAATGACATCCTTCTCATATTACAATTGGGTTTATACTTTATAACTTCATCCCGATCCCGATCCCGATCCATAGAAAAAAAATATATGGAGATAAGGTGGAATTTGATCTTCTCCTTAAGAAGATAGGACCCGATCTCAAAACCCAATTTATTTATCATGTCTCCTTTCTCTGATGGTTGAGCCCATCGACAACGTTGTAGACCTGATCCATTTGACTGCACGCTAGAACGACAACATAATCTCCCCAATGTATCTAGAACCCTCTTGCCATGTTTGACTATATACATTTCTAAATGTTTTTTTGATATTCAAGCTCAATGGTGGTAGGTCAAAACCTTCTGTTAGAGATGAACCTTTCAAAAAGCAAAACATTGGGTGTAGGAAAACATTAGAAATTTTCAGAAACATCAGCCATATTTTATTTTACTGCGCAACAACATTGTCAAGCTGACAAATGCAAGTAAGGCTTTAGAGGCACAAACTTGATGCAGTATTGTGTAAAAAAAGTTAGGAAAATTTATATTCAGATCCTCTAAGATTTGTCACTTAATCAGATAAACCCTTTTAGGTATAAGAAATTAAACACGGTTTATGTGCCAATCAACCCTACAACGTTAGTATCCATGAATGACCCGTTAAAATTGCATAATGCTAGAATATTATCCATTTATATTTTCTAAAATGTCCTTACCTTTGTTGGGACCACCAGATTTGATCGTTGATGACTAATATGACCGTTGCTGACTATTTTGACCGTTAGAACTAATGTGATAAATAGCACCCATATTTCTCAACTCTCTCCATGCCCTTTGTTGAAGCTCTCTCTTTCATAGGTATTGTCTAATATTTTTGTAAGTTTTGAATTAATTTTTGATATCTCAATATCTGGTATTTTGTTTGCAATCCATGGTGATCCCAGCAAAGGTAAGGGTATTTTAGAAAATATAAATGGTTAACATTCTTCTATTATGCAATTTTGATGGGTCGTCCATGGATACTAACATTGTTGAGTTTATGTATTACACGCGCATATAGTTGAAGGGCACTGTGCGTAATTTCTTATACTTGAAGGGATCTGTCTAATGAAATAATAAATTTCAGGGGATTCGGATGTAAATTTTTCAAAAAGCTACTACTTGACTAAAATTTAACTCAAATCCCACCCCCCACACTCCTAGAACGAAACACACCCTAAATAAGTGGACCAATTAATGCCATCTGAATTGTACCATGACCATGAACCACAATAAAAATTCAAATTAAAAAAGAAGTATGTGATGTTGGTACAAGGTAAAATAGATAAATGGTAGTTAAGAGACAGACAAACCAACAGATCAACCGATCTCCTTAGTGAGTTGAGGTGAGGTGACGGGTGAAGTTGAAGCCCGTGAGGTGAAGGAGTGATTCAGTGATAAAAACTCACTCTCACCTAGTTCGCACATGACCACGGCAGAAAAGATTGGTGATAGCTAATGGAGTAAGTAGGAGTAGAAATATTTGGACTAAGGTTCATTTCCGATTAGAGCAATGGGTTCGATCGGGGATTTCATGATCCCACCAATGAGGTCCTATCGGCAGAGACGAATTTACGATGAGAGCAATGGGGACAGCTGCCCCCATTGGAATTTTAACAACATTTGGGAATGTGAAATTTTAGAATTTGTTAAAAGTTACTCCCACTGAAATTTTAAAAATATTTGGAGAGTAAGGTGAACTGCTTGAAATTTTAAAATCCGTTAAAAGTTGCCTCCATTGAAAATATTTTAAACTCAACACTAGTCATGTATTTTCTCTAACACGTGGGGATCTTTAGTTTTTAGCAACAACAAAAAATACTTTTACTTCTACTTTTCAAAGATCACAGTGATTCCAATGACTTTACTCCTACAATTTTTTTTATCAACTCTTTTTGTATATTGCTTGTATATGTTCTTGATGAAATTATATTTTTTGTAAAATAGCGTTAACACTCTGAATTTAGGTATTCATATATTGAAGGTTGCCCCCACCAAAATTCGAGTGTAGCTCCGCCCCGGCCTACCACTCCCCCAATCCCCTTTTACAAACATTAAAAAAAAAAAAAAAAGGGTGTGAGAAAAGTGTCTGGTATCTGGTATGGTAAATAAGTCAAATGATTCTTTTCATAAAAGTTGCTTTCGTAATGTTCACGAGAATGTGACAAGAAAACAGTTGAGCTTTCCTTTTTTTCTAATCAGCTACAAGAAGAGTGAGTTATTTCTGCACCCTCCGCCCCTCTGGCCCCTTTCTCTTATGAAGAACACTACCCACTTGAGTATTCTAATGCTATGTGTGTTTTGTTGAAATTTTCCACACGACAAAATCTCAAAAATAACATGACTTATGATTAGATGAATTATCAAATTGAGTCGATGATTCATTTTGGATTTTATAGAAATAAAAATCTTTCGGACGTTTCAAAAAGGAATTTGGTTCCTTGCATGTGAGTTATGGGTTTGTTGAGAAAGAATAGGGTCCGAATCTTGAGTTTTTTTTGTTACAAATGATGTGTCAATACAAACACGATACGGTGAATGAAAAACCAATACAAATCATCAAACACTACTCATTAAATGGGTTAAATAAGAATTGAATTACAAGTGACGCGAGCATAAAATAATATGATTAGAAAGGATAGTCCTAAATCATACTGTGTGTATTGTTTACGTGTGTGACCAACTGAGGTTGTGAAACGTAATTAAGCCCTCAGGATGTCGTAATTGAATTGGACAGAAAACATAAAACCAACAGTTTTTTCATGATTAACAATTGGCTAAGACAGCAGGAAACACTCGTCTACCTATTAGTCTGAGCCGGCCATGGTTTCTTTCTAACATCTTTTTTCTCTCATAGCTCAAAAGAGGACAATCCAACGTACAAATTTTCTGTGAATACGAGTAAGGTCGGATATAGACAATCTTACAATTATATGTAGAAAGAGAGGGGTTATTTTTATAATTCAATTCAAATGTTAACGATCAAATCATAATAAAATAATGTTATTGTTTTATAATAAGATGATTCTACAAATCTTGCGCACCTTTGAAAGACCTTTTCAAATGAACCCATAAATTAATGTTCCTGGTGGATTATACCCCAACTTCCTGATATCTTTATTTAAGAGGGGCTTTGAGGGAGTTATAGGTTCCTTTTGAATACCTTTGCTACAAAATACTCATAAAAAATTGAAGGAGAGAGTTGATACTTGCAAGAAAAGTTAGAAGGGAGGCTTGTGCTGGAACCTGTAGAGGGGTTTCTTGGCTTTTGCCCAATCTTCTTTTTCACCTGACCATCTTTTTATTTATTATTATTATTTTTTTTTGTGAACGGTCAAGTGTTTGGGTCAGCTTATGTGCAGCTTAACTAATTTCTTTCTCAAAGGCAAGTCATTCATACCAGGAATAGAATATTTATGAAAGATAAATTTTTCGTGATTTGACTCTAAAAATTTATTAAAATTCAAACTTAATATGAATTTACAACCGGTACTTTGTTATTACTTGAACTACCATCCTTTGTCACCTGACCTTCTCTTTTGACCTCCAGTGCCCACTTAGTCTTTGTTTTCTTGGTCTAACATTTTCATTAATTAATAAAGTAATGATTAACAAAAAATATGATGTATGCATTATAGAAATAAAATTGAAAGAAACAGAAACCTATGTGATAGTCAGAGACCCATCTGACAAGCCAATATGCACATTCAACCTACAGTGTATTCCACAAGAGAAAATTTTTTGTGGGTTCAACACACCACATAATCAAGCAAATGTTTCTATATTCTCAAGAATTTTTGTCACTCATGATCAATTTTTCAGAGAAAAAAAAAACTGACTTGGGTATCTCACAAAGTTGTGTTGTGATAGTTTTTCATTAGATATGTACATCATATGACACGATCACGTGGTATACCACACATGAAGGAGAAAAGCTCGAAAATCATTCAATTAGTGGAAGAAATAAATTAAAATTAACATCAACATCCCATAAGAACTTTAATTGAAAGGGAAGCGCATGTTATATATATGCAGCTTCTGTACAACATCATCCTACCAAAGAAGCAAACAAAAACCTTTGCCTGTTAGACTATCATGCTTTTCATGAAGAAAATAAACACAAAAAGACAGAGACCATGAAGATCCCCCATTAGAACACAAGAAAGAGCCAAGATGGTTCCTAATCCTAATGCACCTATATTTCCATGACCAGCAATGCTCCGTAGACTTAAAAACTTAACTTTTATATTTGTCATTGATTTAGTTGAATTTATTGGAACTTACTACTTATTCAATGGTAATAATTTATCAAGTCATGTTTTTTAAATCTATTTAACATTTTCCTTCCACCACTAGAAAAAAGACGAGATTAAAAAATAAAATCAATTGTCAACAAGCCAAAATTCGAGGCACTGACCTTTGAGTGACTAAGTTCCTAGATAGAAGCTGCAAAGACTGGAAATTGGGACCACTAAGCAACCAAATTGAATGCGGAAGATGAATCACCATAATCAGTAGCATGTTCAGACTCGAAACCACATTCATTCTCCATGGGAGGCATTTCATTGAGATCAAAATCCAGAACTTTAGGCTCCATGATCTGGCTGGCTTCATCTTGACTTGATGGAGCTTCCATTCTTGTCCCATTCCAGTGACACCTCTTGTGACCCCCAAGAGCCTGACCAGTAGGGAAAGTCCTGTTGCAAATCTGGCATTGGTGTGAGCAAGCAGCCAGTTCACTTTCTCTGATTTTATACTGTTGGCTAATGGGATTGCCTGGATTTTCAACCTCGGCAGCTGCAGATGATGATTCTTCAATGGCGTTTTGATTTTGAACCCTGATTTTGTTGTGGCTTGACCTATGACCCCCCAGTGCTTGGTGAGAAGGGAAGGACTTGTCACAAGTGCTGCATCTGAATTGAACTGGCACTACTGTTGTACTTGTAGTATTAAAAACAAACTTCTGATCATAGAGGTCGGGACTGATATCTTGTGATAATTCCAAATCCATCAGCTTCATCTTCTTCCTCTTCTTTTTGTTCTTGATCATACTCGTCTTCGCATTAGTACTCTCACAGTACTTGTAATTCATGAGCTGTTCAGATTCTTTAGGCCAGTCTTTATCGTCCCATTGATAACCCGTATGATCCACTGATTTTTCAGCAGAACACCCACGTTCCAACAAGGCTTTCCCTTTGCCTTTGTCAATGTTCATGCTCTTAGATAACACGGCATCACCACTGCTTCCATTATCTGTGGAAATCCTATTTGTCTCCTCAATTTCGGCCCTGTGCGTCGGTGAATTGCTGTTTGTAGCTTCATATTCCTCAAATCTGTGCTTCTGGGTTAAGCTAGACTGGAAAGGTTCGCCATGAGCTAATCTCAATAGATCATTGGCAGCATCAAGGAACTGTTCATGCTCATCCTCTGAGCTCGATAGAGTTGGGGTGGCTTTGATGATCTCACCCTTACGGCCTCTCTTTGCAGTCACAGACCAGCCCCGTAGAGGCTGTGTTGTCAGATCATTCATCATCATCACTGTCCCATTTGGATCTGCTGAATCAATCTGATCATCGATTTTCTGAGGCGGCACAGGATCTGATACTGATGAGGAAGGACTGTTCTTGGCTCTTAGTCCTGCGGGTGGTTGAATTCCCCTCCAGTCTCTCTCAGGATGACATCTCATGTGCCCAAACAACGACTTCATGGACGGAAATTTCTTACCACAAAGTGCACAATTGGGCTTACCTTTATCCCTCACATTACTGGCCTTTTTCTTCATGACACCGATAGCTTCGTGTTTGTGCTTTTCCTTAAACTTGTTGGTTTTCTTGGGTTGTTTGCTTTTCTGAACATGAATTCTCATGTGACCCCCCAAAGCTTTACCAGAGCTGAACCCTTTGTGGCACTCGGGACAGACCCGAATCTGATGATCCTTCTCTTGTGATCGTGGACCAATCAAACCCTTATCCCCTACTTCCTCCACCTTGGGAATGCTGAGAACTACCCGCAGCTTCACGTCGACAGAGACAGGTGTTTCAGATTTGCGATCGTCTTTCTCGATTGCCACTAACTGATTTTCTTTATCATCCTCCATTGAAAGAAAGACAAGAACAACCCCAGCTGAGAGTGTGTGTGTGTGTGTGTGTGTTCTAACTTCTAAAGGAAAAGCTAGGCTAGGTAGGTAATGATCCTTGTTATTAGTTGTGAGATAGTGATGGCTGAGATGCCACAAAAAGAGAGAGAAATGGATATGGGTAGGTACGTATATGACCCAAAAGTCTCAAAAGCCAAATCAGGATGGATCAAAAAAGAAGAAGCCGCTGGAGGAGGGAAGAAACCCTAGTAGTCACCTAGTAAGAAGAAGATTATGCGAATCAGGAAGAGTGGGTTGCTTGGCTGGAAAGAATATTTAACAAAACGAGAAAGGAAATACAGCAAGGAAAGAGGAAAAACTGAGGGAATAATGAATATATCATCGGAATCACAGCTCGAAAATTCAGCTCTTCAATGAATATATATATATATGTGAAGTGTGAAACAGAACAGATCAAAATCAAGATCAGTGCTGAGATGAAGAAAAAGAGAACATTTGTGAAGCAAAACCCAGTAGAGAGAAGAAGACTGAGAAGATGAAAGAAAAATTAGCAAGCTCAGCAAAGGGTAAGGAAGGGTCGTTCTTAACTGCTCCGTGTGGAAATTGACTCTCACGTTCTTCGTCTCTTTGCCTCTCCTTCCGGTTTTTCAGAATCTCTCTCTCTCTCTCTCTCTCTAAAAAATATACTCCAATCCCAATCCTAGGTTTGAATCTTAGTTAACTGACCACAAAACAGAAGGTCATTTGTACAACTAGGAAGGACTCGGAAAAGACTAACAGAATTTCTTCCAGTAAAAAAAAAAAAAAAGAAGAAGAGGAAAATTATTTGGATAAATACACTTTTGGTCTCCGAAGTATACATTTAGTTTGTTTGGTCTCTTTTCTTTCAATTGTGTGTATTTGATCCCTAAGTTTCTTAATTTGTATCTACATGATCCAATCCCACAAACGCCATAAAAAAATCTTTGACAGTTTTCGTCACATGCCAATTATGTAGTTCCTAATTTTGTATCTATTTGATCTATAAAATTTTTAATTTGTGTTTATTTGGTCTTAAGTGATTGACATGTGACAAAAGTCGTTAACGATTTTCTGACGGACGTTTGAGATTGAATCACATAGACATAAATTTAGAACTTTAAGGACTAAATAGACATAATTAAAATATTGCGGACTAAATAGACATTAAACACATACTTTGGAGACCAAAAATCTAATTTACCCAAAATATTTTCTCCATTTTTCTTTTATTAATTAAGGTTCAATTAATAATTTCCTATTTTAAAGAAGGGAGAACTTTCTTGGATAGGTCTCACTTAGCTAAAATCTCGCACTGTAATTGAGCATTAAGACCTTCCAATATTTTCCTACGATAAGAGATTTTAATTAGTCAAATATTACAGCCGATGAATCTTTTATTACCATTTTATTTTTTAAAATCTTATTTACCCTAAGGAAAGCCTTGCAGATTCGAAACTCTTGGAAATTTTAAATTTATGCTTATCTCTATCTTGATTTCTATCTATTTTTATTCTCTTAATCTTCCTCTATCGCTTACTACTTAAGATGCTTTGTCAATACATATCAAAATGGTCAAAAAAACCACTGAATTCTATAGCCAAGAATTGAATACAAGTAACCTACTCCCAATGCAAAGGAGAAAATGAACACTTTTCTCAATTGTAGAGATCACCAAAAGTAGATTTTGATGGGGATTTACTTGTGTATATAGTAAACTCCACTTGAATTAATGGTGGTAATTTTTTTTATTTTTTTTTGTTACAGGGTGTTTACGTTTACACCGACTACTCCCTCGAGTTCAGCGACTGACCACCGTGGTTTGAGTTAAGTTAGAGTATGTCCTTAAATAGACGAAGGTGGTTAGCCCTTAAGAGATGTGAGAAGGAATTAAACCTAAGATCTCTAGGTTACTAAAGATCAAACTGAACCACCCTTAAAGATTAATTAATGGTGGTGATTTACCAAGAAAATATATGAAGAAAAAGTTTATCCCGACCCCATATATAATATGCATGGATGGATATAAATCCTTAACTACTTGGACAAATCCACTTGGCTCTCAAGATATCATAACTTGTGCATTGATTTTCTTCAATTCAATGCTTATTAACTGCCTAATTAAAATTTGGCAATTACTACACTTCCACGCGGTTTTCAACTTGTTTCTGAATTAATAATAATTTACAGTATATAGCCATGCATTGAATCTCTGCCCAGAATATGAATATAACAACCCGTGGGAGAGAGAAGAGAATACATACATACACTGTGTGACTATCAAGATTTCTAGTATGTGGAGAGAAAGAACATTCAATCAATTACAATAGACTCTTTCAATGCAGAATCTCCATATCATGTTGTTGGTTTAGACCCCACAAAGATGTTTTTTTTTATGTAGTCAATACTCTAGGTTTGGACCCTCCACACCAGTATGAAAACTGCCAAGCTAATGTACAAAATTCGAAGGTGCTGACCCATTGAAAAGCTTGCCAAGTTTGGGAAGGAAAGCATAATTACTAATTTTGAACGGCTCTATTTGTACTCATTGGGTGTGTTGTTTGCCAGATAATTGGGGGATTTAGGGGTGCGGTACTAAGGACCGAATTAAATTTTTAGGTCGGATTCTATTTTTGGACCACATTGAATTGTAACTTATTCTCATTGAATGGGTCCCAACTTTTTAACAAAAAAATAGATGATATATGAGGAATTTTTTTTTTTTTTTTGGGCCTAAAATGAAGGCCAAGTATTTATTTTGTACCAACTTCTTAACAAATTCATCTTTCACAAGGTCCATTATATTGTTTTTTTTCTAAGTGAGATAATAAAGAACTTGTAATTTTTAGAATTGATTCTATTAGTTAATACGGGCTAATTTTGTATAAGTGGATAAAATACAAGATTAAAATTGGGATAAAAATAATAATCATTGTAATCCAGTATTTGGTAAAATATTATTACATATTGACCAAAAACCATCAATCTAATCTAGTTATGCATGTTTATGTTTAGTTGGTAGACAAAATAGTAAAATATAATTTAATACAATTTTACTGTATTATAAATTTATAATACCACATCTTCAGATGGTATTAAAATAATAAAATTGGCTCAATAATATGAGTAGAACATATTATTTGTATACGTATTTTATATGTATACAAAATAAAACTAAATATAATACGAAATACTTTTAGCAACCAAACTTAGCATAAAGTTGAATTAAAGAATTTTAATTTATTATGACTCCTTAATATATCCTTTAATACTACAATCATATATAGCTATACTTCAATGTTTATTTGAATCAATGGATATCATTCTCTTTCTAAAAAAAAGAGATAATGAAGAGCATGCTCTTCTTACCCATTTAAATGAATATTTTGGGCGAAAAAATCCAATATTTATTTATAATGGGAAATTGCTTTATTCACATGCCAATTAAATGGTTGACTGCAATATACTCTATTTACAATAAGATCAAAATGATCCGATTAAAATTATTTTTTGTTATTAGGTCGCTAGTACTTAATGATTTTTTAATTAGAGCTAGAGCAAACAAATAGTCACCCACATCAATGTTCATCTAAAGAAATTGAACATTTGATTTATCCTTCATGAATATTTTAGTTTTGGTATGAATAGTTTATCTTTGATCAAATCAGAGAGAAAATTAGTTGATGTATGTATAAATTAGTCTGAACACTCTTGACCGTTAAACCAAAAAAAAAAAAAAAAGTGGCCACAAAATGAATAGAAACAAGGGTTAAATGCGAAAAACCTCTATTTACTTAGGGTCATTTACATGTAAGTTATGCAAGAGTACCTCCAATCATAACTCAAATTTAAGTTAGTATTTAAGTAAAAAGTTTAATTTGATACAAACGGCTCCAATTGACAAACTCAAATTTAAAGAAGGAAAAACTTAAATTTAAATGAGGGCAAACCCAAAATTAAATGAGAGTAAAGATAATCATTGTATCTTTAAAAGAATGTGAAATCTTACTATTAAAAATTTGGGTAAATATTTGAGTCTCTCTTAATTTGAGTAAAAAAAAAAGTCTCCCTTGATTTGGTATAAGGTTGAGTAAATTTTTTAAATTTTTTTACTCAAATTTAAATTTGAGTCTAAATTTAATACAGGGTCGAAGATATCCTAACCTCTCGTAGTTTTAATTGTTGTATTAAGACTAGCACCTTAAAAATAAAATGTCACAGTGAATCAACATTACAGAATTTGTAAAAATATAAAAAAAAAACCCTCATTTACCCATTTAATTTTCATTTCAATACCTACTTCTAGCTCAAGCCTTTCTCTCTCTATATTTTTCCTTCTCTCTCTACAAACCCTCTCTCCCTTCCTCACCGAAATCCACCCACTGAAACTCCCTTACTTCACATTCATGATTGCTAAATCCTAACTTATTGGATTTTATTTGGTAAGATCAACAAAGAATTAGTCATAGATTAGATTTTGAAAGAATCGTCTAGGTATGTTTACTTCTTCATTTATGGTGATGTGATTTTCTTCTCAGGTTCTATGGTTTTGTCGATTTAATTATGGTTTGTTGGTCAGATCGTTCAATAGGTGTGTTATAGTTGATGGGACTTGTTAGAATTTGTTGATTTGTGTTGTGTTTGGAAGATGAAAAATCATATGGCGGATTGTAGCCGAAATCGTTATTTTTTTTTTTTTTAAAAAGAGTGCAACACGAGGACTTATAGGATCACCTATTCTAATAATACTCTCGTCCTAGCACATTTAACTGCAGAGATCTCGCCTAAGCACGTTTAATTACAGAATTTTGATAGGATCCGGTCATCCATCTTAATACTACTCTCGCCCAAACATGCATAACTACGTAGTTCTGATGGAATCTGGTACATTAGTGCTGGTAATATCGCACCCGGCCAAAATCATTATCTGGTTATGGTTTTGCTCTTCAATTGTTGATTTGAATGCGGAATGTTGCTTTTCACAATCTGGGTATATGTTGTTTCTTAAATTCTGGTTCTCTATTGGCATTTGGATTTTTTGTTTTTGGGTTTCTATTCCTTGATTTAGGTTTGGGTGGAATTTTCAGTTCTCGTGAGGTAGCAATTTTTTGTTTGAGATTTTGTTCTTGTTGGTTTACAGAGGCTGAGAGAGAGTTTCAGCGGGGTGGGAGTACTGGCGGGTGTGGGCTCGATTTGGGGAGTTTCGACTGGGGTAAGAGTGTTACAGGTGGTGGATTTCGATGGGTAAGGGAGAGAGTTTGAAGAGACTGTGTGTGTCTGTGAGAGAGAAAGACGTTGGGTTGAGGAGGTAGGGGGGTTGAGAGTATTTTAGGAATTATATATTATAATTTTTCCACATTTTAATTTCACTTGCATTATTTAGCGCTTGTATCACACACTCAATTAAATTAGTAGCGTTCATCCAATTTTGCACTTAATTTTTAAGTTGAGGGGGATTTAATACAATTCTGAGGAGGCAACGTACAAATAACCTTAAATACATGGGGGGTTTTTTACATTTAACCCTATAAACAACTCAACAAGCAGCAAATAGTTGAAGGTTTTACATTCAAGTCTATTAACCATAATTTAGAGAGATAAAACAACCAAATTTCAAATCAAATCGAAAGTTAAAAAAAAATAAAAATAAAAACAGTTGTCTCTCTAGCTATACACAGCTAGAATACCAGCACAATGGAGATCAGTACTCAGTCAAAGAACTTGGGATCATAGCCGTTGCTGGCTGTGGCAAGGATATAATAAGCCACTATGTGGCCAATAGAGCCCCACGCAAGCACATCGACGATGTTGAACCCAACTGGGTCGTTGGACTTGAGGAGGCTAACGTACTCCTTTGCACGTGTATCTCCAGCCTCGAAGTGGGTCACTCCGTTCTGCTCCGGCACTTGTTTGGCCACATTCTCTCTCTGGAAGTTGAAGAACACGAACCTACCCAAGAACAAGGACAGACCAGTGCTCAAGCTTATCACCAGTGATGGGTTCAACTCAGCTTTAATAGCACACCCTGCAGGGTTCTTCTTGGCGGTGATGGGTCTGCAAAATTTAGCAGTGGTTTTGGTGAGGAAGAGAGGAGAGTCGGTGGGCTTGTTGAGGGGTCTGAGACCTTGGAAGGTTGGTGTGGAGAACAAGGTGGAGGCCATGGTGAAAGTTGGTATCTGGTTGAGGAGGAGGAGGAGGAGGAGGGAGCTTCTGTGAACCAGTGAAGGAGGGGATGAGGTTTGGATTTGGATACAGAGAGAGAGACGATGATGTTTATTTTGAAGTGTGGGAGCAAAGGGAGAGATTGTGAGGAGGGGAATGAAAGAAGAAAGATTTTTGGGTGGTGAGTTGGTGATGTTTTATTGGTTGATTCTGGATCAGAAGATTCTTGACCTTAGTTACAACATCGCTAACCTCAAACAATAAAGTTATGATATAACAATATTTTAGTAGGCCTTAACGGAAGAGGATCCGTGGCGCAATGGTAGCGCGTCTGACTCCAGATCAGAAGGTTGCGTGTTCGATTCACGTCGGGTTCATTCGCAGATGTTTCTTGGTAACAAGCAACATCTGCGAAATTTTTTTGACTTGGACACTTGTCCAAGGTAGACCTGAACTCTTGACGGGTAGGCATGTGACTTATATATATATATATAATTCTATTTAAAAAGTTTTCAATCTTATATTTTATAAATTATATTTTTGAATTAAAAGTAGAGTCAAAATAGACAAAAAATAAATAATGAATAATTTGATTTAAATAAAGTAGAGTTATATATTGTCATCAAACTTCTAAAGTTTCGACGGTCAATTTTTTTCAAACAATTGAGTGAAAGGGCGAACTCTTGGGTCGGATTTTTGCAGGCCAGTTCGTGAACTGGGTATCAGGCGAGGTAATGAGTTTAAAAATAAGCTCAAACTCTCTCTTGAAGGATATTGGGTTATTGGGTTCGGCTTCGACAGATCAACAATCAAGCCTATTTTTTTGGTTAAAGTAACAAGACCCATTGGCCAAACCGACCCCATGGACACCTATGCCAATATAAGTTTTTTAATTTTTTTGTGCTATGCATTATAACAAAGAGCGATACGACACAACGATAAAGTTTTACAACAGGAGTAATACGACTACAGTGATGGCCCAAACACCCTTCCTCCTCTGCTTCAAGAACCGTATGAATGGAGAGCAGGCATATCAGAAGGTAAGGAGGTCCTCATATATGGACCTATTAAGTCAATCGCTAACCTCCTATAATACATCTATAAATGGATCAAATTATGACATCTATAAAGCTTGACCTCATTTATATCTCTTCAACAAAGGTGAAATCCTTATTTACTTATAGAAAGAAGCGAAATCTGCCACACAGTACGGGCCAAATCCTGAAGAAAACTAAAAAACAGTGTCTGATGAGTCTTACAACAACTACATCTAATTTGATCTAAAAAAGAAAAGCCCCATATGATAAACTTGAGGAAAGCATATCAATGTCCCCCAGAGAAACTTAAATACCAAACCACCATCACATAACAAGCCCGCCTTGTCCTCGAAAATCCCTGTTTCTGATTGTTCAAATGACCGACACTTCCTAGCCTTCTGTACAACCCCTCCATTCTTACAGTTTATGACACTCCCATTCTCAAAAGTACTCAACTTATCAGAAGGAACAATGAAAATTACAATTGCACAACAACACATTTACATTTGGATTGATCACCGTTGCAGGATTTGCTACTGGTTTCCATAGTTGCACCTCGAAATGAAGAAAATGAGTGAGGCCCGCACGCTTATTCACAGAGTTCACATTCCCGATCAAAGCACACTATCCAGGTACGAATAATTCCTCCGACGACCAAACTCAAGAAGACTACCATATGTACGATCCCACACCCCAATAAAAAGGGACTCTGTATCAGGACTGAAGGACATGCCAGATATTTCACCAAAGAAATCGATTTCCTGCTCCTTTTCATACCCGCTTTTGACATCAAAGACATGAACAAAATCTGCAGGCTCTGCCATTGCCATGAATCGGCCATCGGATGAGTAGCGGATTGACCGAATTGCCCCCAGATTACCCTTCAGAGCAGCAACTGACTTCGATAGGTTTCGGACATCCCAAATTCGGCAGGTTTTGTCCTGGTTCCCAGTAGCAAAAGTGAGGCCATCAGGGTGCCATGCTGATGCAAACGAAAAATCCAAATGGCCACACAAGGGGGCAACTGACTGCAAAGTTAATAGTTAAAATTAGAACATGTTCGCATTCTCAAGCTTCAATCACATAAAAAAACTTCCCACAAAATAGAAAAAGCAAATAATACCTTTCCACTCCTGGAATCCACCAATATGCCATCTGGGTTATCTCCAACTATTACAAGAAGCTTGCCATCAGGACTCAGTGACGTATGCTGCAAACACATATAGGAAATATTTACTAATCACAATGCCAAATATCCGTCATCATTCAACAGTGCAAAATGACCTCGATCAACCTTAGTGCTCAGGCCAAGATGTGACCAAACATTGCCAAGAGCACAAGCAGAAAAAGAAGGCAAAAGGCGCCTCTCCACATTGATTAATTGATGCATACACACAAGTGTGCACTGGAAAATGAAAGATAGCATCTCTAAACCATCCAAATAAAAGACATTTGTCTGTGAATAGGCCCTTCGAATAAGGTACTAAGGGGTGTCAATCGTGTCATGTCATTTTCATGTCGTGTTACTTTCGATCGTGTTATTTTCATGTCGTGTCACTTTCGATACGTGTCAATATTCATGTTAGTAAAAAATAATTTAATTTGACAACAACTCATATAATACTATTTAAAAAATTATAAAAAAATATAAAATTCTTATTTTCTATCTACAATACTAATTAAATAATTATTTTATATCTACAGTACTCATTAATCGTGTTATTCATGTCAAACCTTAATTTGACCCATTTATTACTCGTGTCAACTAATCGTGTTATTTTCGAGTTTTGTGTCGAGTAGGGTACGGTTCGTGTTAATGGATAAAATTGACACCCACTACCACATATTCAACTAACCATTTTGAGTCACAAACTTGCAAAATCTAGCTTAAAGCAGATATCCTTTAGCTCGGGTACTACCAGTCCAAATGATCAGCAAAAATGCTACGCAGTTTAACAGACTAACAAACAGAGTGAGAAACAGAGGAGGACTTACATTAACTGGCCACGGATAACAAGAATGCTTAGAGAGTTGAAATTTTTCCATATCAAAGTCTCTTACTCCACAATCATTATTGGAGGCTATAAAATGAACTGCACCACTAGGAAATTAGATAAAACAGGCTCAGCATGGTCCATAATCACAAGTAAATCCAACCACCTGTACAAGGGAAATATAATACCTGGGAGTGGTATAAATCTCAACAGCATTAGTGATAGCATTATCATCATAAGTTGTCCTGGAACAGAAGCAAACTCCGGGTCTATCCACATACTACATTTAAAAAAAGCAGGACGAATACTTCAGCCTTGATGTTCAGCCGATAATGATGTCAAAAAGCATAACAGCCGCAGAAAGAGTAAGAGAAAAATAGCGCCCACCCGTGTTCAAAGAACTCCCTCCATTACCCCAAATATCACGAATTAGAATTTTTTCATACTAATATCAGAATCCCCAAAACGCTACAAATTCGTCGATATGCAACCCCAAAGAAAAAGAAAAAAAAAATTGTGGAATCAACGCTTTTCTCCATAGGAGAAGCCAAAAGGCAACCAAAATTTGCACGACAAAGTGAACAGTTTATAGGTCTTCACAGACCATCGAAGGTAAATGCAGGGAAGGTAACTGATCCTCAACCTAAAGCCTTAAGTCAACCAGCAAAAGTGGTACAACTTCATGCACTGTAACAATTACACAATGGGGCACGCACTAGCTGCACTGATGCATAACAATTTTCATGATAAATATTTCCTTCTTAGGAAGATTAAACTAAAGAAAAATACCTAACTTACCTTGCAAATAAGTTCTCCCTGAAATCCTCCAGCGACTAGCAACTTATCTTTTACAGCAAGGGTGCTGACCTGGGTCTGTGTAAATCCTTCCAAAAGACTTCCAGGATGTTTCTATATGGGTAAAAGAGATTAATTAGTTTCATGGAATACCCTAACTCAGAATTCAAGATGAAGAATTTAAGCCTAAATATATGACACAAGGAGCCAATTGTCCTGAAACACTGACCTCACACGGTGCCACATGCCCTGATACGTTGAGAATTTCAGATTTGTTGCAAGTTAAGGAAGACCAATGAATGACAGAGAAATGTGACATAAGGTAAACATCATGCTTGGATGTAGCCCACACCAAATTCCTCAACTGCATCACCAATCAACAAAACTTGCATATCGGTATTAGCTCGTCTCATAAATTAACTAGACAAAGAAGAGTATATTTTAAAGAATTAACTAAACATGAATTCTTAAGTAGACCCCAACAACACATAACAGAGCATCCTGCAACACAGTTAGCTAAGACTCCGCCATGTCATGTGTGAACTTTTCATTTAGATAGACAGAAACCTACACATGGTCAAATGCAAATACACACAAAGGAGAAACAAAGGACTATCTATTTTATATCCTCCTGTATGACTTTTTCGTTTGTGCGAGAACTTCCTCACATGCAGTTATTCTCTTATTGCACCGTAATGGTGTTGTCCAAATGAGCTTCTCTGCTTCATTAGCATCCTCTCCTCTTTTTTCACTCTATACCAAATGTCTTCTTTCATCATACTTGCATCTGAAGCCTCCGGTTGCAAAACACCCTCCACTTTGGCAGCCACTTACCAAGATTCTATGTGGCCATATACTCTATTTTTACTTCCAATTTTTTTAAAGCCCCGGCATAGTTGTTCCCTTTTACCTTATCCATTCGTTTATTGGAAATGGCTGGATTACTAACATATTTCCTCATTACCCCCACCTTAACCCATGGTGTCCAGCAAGTTTTCAATTTATACATATGCTTGTGATTCTCATTTCAAAATATCCAACATTGAACCCCCCCAAACTTTAGGAGTTCCCAAATCCAATTTATCTTATCAAATAGGTAAATTTAGCTCACACTGAACCAGTTCAGCCAATTTGGTTTTTTATTTCTTCAACACACCGCATAAGGTAACCTAGGTGCTAATAAATTGCTCCAACAGCTTGAAAGCCAAAACCTTATCATCAAATCAACAATTTATCTATGTACCCTCAAAAGACAAATTTGTAAGTAAATTGTGGTTTTAATATATAAATATACCTCATACTAACCAAGTAATGTGATGCAGACATAGATTGCTGACTGATACCAACAGGCACATTCATCACTCATTCATTACGGGAGTGAATTAAGTTTAGATAACAGGTACATTGACACAAACTTGTCAACTGACCTGAAAATGCAGGATGGTTGATTTCACAGATCTTGAATTGCGTCTAAACTCATAATACAAACCCCCTTTCTTTGTAACTTTGCAATCCTGCTCACGGTTGAAAAAGCCACAATAGAAGTATTGAAAAAACCATACTATAAGCACTACAAAGAGTTCCATATTACCGAGAAAAAGAAAAATCAGTTTTACCTTCTCTGACCCCTCACTAGATAGAGGTATATTTTCATAGTTCTTGTACTGTTCTAGTCTAGTTTGCCTATACTTCTCCCTGGTTATGCTAAGCCTGTCCCAAGGAATCCCTTGGATGTCTTTGCCTCTCCTAGCTTGAGCAGCAGAAGTATCTGCCATTTTATTATTCTACAGTGGCACCAGATAATTATTAGTCAAGCTTGACCGAAAAATTCAAACATTTTCTTAATGTGAAAACATCCACTCCAAATAACGAAAGAAATCAAACATATAATAGCAATGTTTCCCAATAATTACAAGTATAATAGCTCCAACAGCCTCTTAAAATTTGCATATGGTTTTCTACAATGTATAGTGATACAAACCATGTAGTCATATTCATCCACGTCAGAGTCTGAGCCACCCATATCTCTGCCACGAAATTCATCATCCATGTCATCATCTACATCTTCCATTTCATATTCATCTGCCATGTACTCAGCATCATCACCTTGGTTATGGGACATGATGACCTACATCACACTTAATTCAGGCATATAATCCATGCAGTAGTAAACAAAATTAAGTTCCATATTAGCCCTGCATATAATCATCAGGGAAAAATTCAATTACTAGGTCACACAAACAATTGATTTTAAGTTCCTTTACCACCACTTCAGGTGGTCAGTCATCAATGATTCTCAGTATCAGCTAAGACAGTTTTTTCAATTGCTATACTATACGCAACGAATGAATACTATAAGTACATCTATTTCAGACTTGCCAAGATGGCAAGGATAAAGAACAATGTGGGGGTAGAACGAAACATTTCCCTCTATGAGAAAGGGAACATAAAGGGTAGTGGACTATCACATCAATATAACCAAGAAAAACCCACCACACCATCTTGCAGTGAGAAATACTGAAGACAAACCAACTGCTCATATATCCATCTCTTATTTGATCCCTCCAAAGTCCCAAGGAGAGTTTGGAGAAAGATATCACCATCACCATTCGGTGAGCCTTAACCCACTACCTACCATGAGCCCTACCACCTGCCCAACATCTACTACCACGCCATATCCACAGCGATTACCATTCCCAAACTCCACTCACCTCCACTGAATCTAATACGACATTTCCTAAGAGTGCTTCCTCATGGTTCATAGGAATTGAAGCTCCAAACCCACTTCTTGTATTTTAGTATAGCCTTCTCTGATGGTAACTCATTCAACAAAAAAATCGCTTTTAAATGTTCTAATGATCAAAGCATACAAAAATAGTGAAAGAAGTTAGCAAAATCCCTAATGAATTAGAAGAAATAAAATTTTCCAATTCTGATAACTGCCAAGATTGGCACCTCTCATAACTACTACACACATGCACACAAATTCCATGCTCATCCAGATACTAAAACCCTAACTTTAGCATTAAGGAATGAATGTAACTACTTGAAAAATGTTCCACATTTCTGATAGAACTGATACAGACCAATCCACTTTCTATTGTCTACATATTACTGCCAACACATACTATGCGCATGCCAGTAAAATAAAGCCTCCCTACGACTCCATCTCGCACATTCCATCTTATACTATAAGAGTGATACTCTCATATTATTCCATCATATACTTATTCACATTGGGTGCCATAGGAGACAGTTATGAGACTTGATGTAAAGGCCCTCAGTTCGAAGTTATACCAAAATTCATAATGCTAACAGAGAATAAAATAAGCAACGAGGAACAGAACTGCAGTCAATGGTCCATAAAAAACAAGCCTAAATTTGAAGACGATGCTGATAGTATTAGGTATTATATCTTCAAAATCCTGCCTTTTAAAAACAATTCCCAATTGACGATACACAAAAGGCTGCTAGTACCTGTAGTAAATCCACTGATTGAAGAATACAATAAAATTGCGCCTAAAACCCTAAAAAGATTGAACCTTCATTTGGTAACTACCGGGAATTGTATTTTCACATAAGAAATTAGCTAAAATAATAATGATACACAGAGCAAACAAATAAGCCCTAGAATTCCGGACTCTGAACAAAGGCAAATCAAATATATATATACAAATATAATTATATGTTCTATACATGCAAAGATATAGTTCCGACCTTTGATAACACAGCAGAATCAAAATCAATTCTCTGATCTTGATCTCGAAAATCTTGTATCAAAGGCTCAGCATAACAATTAATTGCAAACTTTATAGGCGACAATCTGACAACTTTCTGGTAAATAGATCGCGATGGGTTCAGCTAGAGGAGGGAGAGAGAGAGAGAGCAATACGCCAATATCTATCTTTATCCACTGGTTCTCCTACCGACCTCCTGACTAAGAAATGCGAGCGACAGGGACACGTTTAGAGTAAAAGATAGAAGTCGGTTGCGGTCAATGCCCTTACCCTTTCCTAATATTACCAGATTGCCCACGACAAGTTTGTCCTCTTCTTTATAACCCCTTGTTATATCCATATCTTTTTGATAAAAAAATCACACTTGAACCTTAAGACATTTGTAAATAATCATAGAGTTTCCCTTTAATTTTCAAAAATATAAATATTTACTCCTTTTTTTTTCAAAATTTTAGTGCACCGTCATTGCTTTAGATTTCCGATGTGGTAAATTATGTATTATACCTCCAAAATTTACACCTGATTTTTGTTTGGTCTCCAAACTATTAACTAAAATAATCACCTCCTTAAACTTTTAGTTCAATTAAGTAGTTATTCAAATTCATCTAAACGTCATAAAGTGATTCAATTATGAGATTAATTTTGAATAAGTTGTCTCTACAAAAAAAAAATTGTGTATTTGTGTTGGCAGATTCATGATTACGAGAGTGTTAAAATTCGGACAAATTTAAAATCTAAACATTTATCACCTTATTTTATTTGAATTGCGCGTGAGGTTTAAAATTGTGATTGTTCAGTCAATTGTGATGAAGCGTAAAGTAACTCCTAAACTCTTTTATTTGCCTTGGAGATCAATGAATAAAATAATTCCTATTTGCAGCAAATTAATGAACTGAGATCTAGGTAAGGTATTAGAATTTAAAGAAATTGGCTCTAAGAAGAGTTGTGTATTTGATTGAGGTTTTCCTCTTTATAACCTTGCCCTATGTATTTATAGGGGATGACTTCTAACTGCCAAAGTCATCTCTTTTGCCCGTAATCACAATCATGGATTTTTTCTCCAACTTTTTTAAACGTGCTTAAAATCGTTTCTAACTAACAATTCATGATATTACATCTTTTTATTTTTCACAATTCAAGGGGTCATATCCCCTTAACCATCTTATCTTACTTGGACTCTTTTTAACTCTATCCTAACTATTAAATGTTGCCACATGTTGTTCTCAAATATTTTAATATTTGGGCGTTAACAATATTAAAGTTACATATGTTGGCTCAATTTATATAGATTTGAGTACTTCAATTAAATGTATTGACTTGAATTTTAAAAAAAATTATTCATAGTTTTTATACTTATTTGGTCAAAATTATGTATATTATTAAGGCATGTAATGTTTATATGATTTTTTATCTATCATAATTATGATGGATTTTAACAGAGGGAGTCGATCGAAACTCGTTTTTAAATTTAAGGATTTGATTGTTGTAACTTATTGTTTAGAGAAAAAATAAAAATAATTATAAACTTTTAGGGTATAAACTATAATTATTTTTTTTAGCTGGTTTGCCCACATATACATTCGATGACATTGAATTGAAGGAAGGTAATAATGCGAAAAGCTTCATCATTCTCTTTATGATATTCTAGAATTTGTGTACCAAAAAAATTAAAAGAATAACATCGTTACATCTTTGAGGTTTTGCACTTGAGTATGGTATCGATAAAAAAAATTTGATGTTATATCTTTATAAATATTATTTTAATGAGTGTTAATTATAGGTTATTTTATTAAAAATTTTATTATTTTATAGGTAATTTATCATTTCTGTAAGTGTTTTTATCGCTTTTGTTTTTATCACTTTTTTTCGAAACAAAAATAATTACCACTTTTATAAATAATTTATTACATTTATAGATATTTTTATTAATTTTGTGGGTATTTTTATTACTATTGTGATAATTATTTTTATCATTTTTATTGTGATAATTATTTTTATCATTTTTTTTGATAGCATAATGCTAATAAAAACACATACAACAATAATAAAAAAAATCATAAATATGATAAATAGAGAATTTGTACCATTTTTTTTTGGTACAATAAACAAGCCTCGAGGATTTATGCTTAATCAAATCCCATCCAAGTCAGAGGGCAGTGGCCCCCAGTGATGTAAACTTATGAAATATTCAAACTCTTCACATATATTTCATGAGGCTTTTATTAGTTGGTTGAATTACCATTAAGTTACTCTTAAGGAAAAACAAAATACTTTATAAACACTTTTGTGCACGAGATTTTGATTACTATAGGTTTGGGAAATAATCAGATGCAGATAGATTGATTATTTTTTAATTAACTAGCAATGCATGATGTATGTTGTACGTAAATAAATTTAAATAATATTTTTTTTTAAAAAAAATGTGAATTATATGTGTAATTAAATTAAATAATAAATTAAGTACTGTTAAATAATTAATTTGTGTTTTAATTATTGCTAATTTTAATTATTAGTTTATTTTGTAAGTCTTTGAATACTTATTTAGGTATCTCTTCGACATCTTTAGGCATTTGCATATCTAATTATTATAAAATTTTATTATTACATATCAAAAATATAAAATATAATATATATTTAACCATTAAATTCCATTTCACAACTTTATGTGTATAATAATTTAACATATAAATATATATTACTTCATAAAATTAAATCTTTTCCATATAGATATAGATAGGTACATATAACTGTATTATTAATAAATGAGTTCAAAAAAATTTAGATTTTTTTATAAAAAAAATCTAAAACAAGTTGAAAATCAAATAGGAGTACAAAACAAAAAGTATATGAAAATATGTAGATGAATATAATTAATTTTATTATAATAATTAAAGATAAAATAAAAAATTAATTTTTTTAGCAAATACTAACATTTATAAATAATATAAGTATAAATATAAATATAAATTTATTTAGGGGTACAACTTGGGCAGGTTAGACAGTCAACCCTAACCCTGTCTCGGATTGAGAGATTTAACCTTAGCACTGCCTGAGTTTAATCCGGGCGGGCTCGGGTTAATGATTTTGGGCTACTTTACGGGTTCAATTCGGATTTAGGTCAAAATAGACTTGTTGTTCTAAATTTAATACATAATATTCACCTAAATTAATAACCAACAACTTCAATCAAATTTTTAACATAAAAACCATAATATTAAGAACTTAATGTTTTGAGATAATGCAACCACAATCATACATAACATAAATAAACACAACCATAATTCTTCTATAAATATAGAGTTCACTACTTAAATAATGAGTGAGGGAGACGCACAATAAAAGCTTCAAAACAAATTAACTCTAGACTTAAAAATGAATTTATATAGTTATGAATATTCGGGTTTAACCCGATTTTAATATTCGGGTTCGACCTTGGAACCTTAGGGGGTCAATCTTAGGCCCGTCCAAATTGAATTCGAATCAAGATTTTTTGACCCAAGTCTAACCCAAGTATTAAAAACTCTAACATAAGTTCGGGTTATGCTCGAGTTAAAATTGGGTTAGCTCGCTCAAGTTTCACTCCTGGATTTGTTGAATGTATTACAGGGTAAGAGTTAGGCCTGACAATCGTGTCAAGTGAAACGGTTTCGTATCGGGTGAAACAGGTTTGTGTAAAAAAATCTTTCATCCAAACCCTATTTGTTTATATAAATGAGTTAAACTATCACACTCATACACGAATCATTTATTAGACGGGTTACCCTATATAATTCGTGTGTCATCCGTTAAATAAGAGAATACGTTAGATAATTTCAAGTCTCCATTAAAAATCATTAACTCGCCACACATTACACATATTTGAACTATTTACTATAATAATAAATCATGACTGAATAAAAAAATAAAGAAAAAAAATAAGCATTAAATGACTACCAAATTTGAATGATTTTAAGATATAGGAGGTGTGAGATGAAGTAGAGGTTGAACGGGTTAAACGGATTGAAATAAGTTTATGAGTTAAACATGAAACCGGTTCATTTATTTCACGGATTTGTCGAGTTAATCTGTTAATCACCTGAACCTATTAAAACTACACCAAAACATGCTAAATCCGTGTCAAGTTCGTGTCGATTTCACAAGTCGTGTCTAAAATTGCCAGCCCTAGTAAAAGTTGACTTGTCCATACTATGGTTGAATGTTTTCTTAATCCTCCGGGCGTAAAGTAAGAATGGTACTCCCTTCATTCTTAAATATCTGTCGTTTAACGTTTTTGCGCAAGGATTAAAGAAGTTATTAAATAACTTTAGTATAAGTAAAAAATAATTGCACAAGACTAAAAATACTCTTATTTAATATGTATTAGGAAAGAAATATGAAAAACATTTAGCCAACACTTAATCTATAAAACACTTATTGAAAAATAGAGATAAGGGTAAATTTGGAAGAAAAAATATTAATTATGCTTTCGTTTCATAAAATGACAGATATCATAAAATAAAAAAAATTGAGTAAAACGACAGATATTTAGGAACGGAGGGGATAATAAATAATGCATCAATAATTAATAATAAATGAGCCGTGAAAAAAAAATTGAAAAAAAAATAGGGATCACACCCAATAAAAACCACCGGATATATTCTCATAAAGCGTATGCACACGTGTAACACGAGCACATAGCAGCCGTAGGGTCCCACATAAATCGGCGGCTACGCCAGTGTAACGTGTCAACATTATGCGGCCAATGTGTTTCCTTCCACATTCACTGCTACTCGGTTCAAAGTCGTTTGCCGAATAGTTTTAGATTCTTCGTCGTTCTCTACAGGAACTGTTCCAGACACCATAGCCATGATACTCAGAAAGGTTTGGGAATCGGTTTCAATCCGTTTGTGCTCGGGCTCGAACTCGCACTCATCGTCTGATCGGTTTCAGCAGATGATGTATTTTCAGCACTCGTCGACCGGGGCATTTGATCGATTGCCTCTGGATGTATTTATTCTAATCTTAAAATTTCTTGGACCGAAAGAGACGGCAAAGCTAAGCGCTGTTTGCAAATCGTGGAAATTCATTGTTTCAGACAATCGGCTGTGGATATACTTTCTTCAGAATCAGCGAGAGCCATGGGACTCGATCTTCTTCGGCGAAACGCACTTGCGATTGGGTTATCCTCTTCGGTAATTCAACTTCAC